TGCACTGCACTTACGGGAATAATGACCTCAGTAGTTTACGCGTCCGGAAACACTAACAACCAATCAATTTTCTCTGATGATCAAGTAATCATAATAGACAGGGAAGACAAATGACACTACATAGATTCAATTGTTGAGCCTAACTTATAACCTGAAAATATTTTTGAAAACATTGGCCTCTACAGGTATTTACTCTACAAGAAAAAAAGCAGTCCTAAATGGCAAGCACATAGAACAGATATCTCATGTGGCAAGTCTTAATAGCTAGCCCTGACCAAAGAAAATAGAAAACATATAGTCTGTGCCATTCTGTAACACTACTGTTTTTTTTGTCGAAGATTGTGATTTTTCCTCTCTGGATGGTGAGATCCGGTGTCGACCTACACGTCTTCATGCAAGGTTTTCTACAACAAGGTACATCCCACCAGTGGGGCACCGCCCTGCCGAGACAAGCTCCGGCATGTGTGGTAGAGTAGTGCATATAAGTACGTGTATAAGTAAGTGGGTCGAGTTATGACAAGGAACGAAATACCGCGCAGAGCGCTCGTCCTGTTTGGGTACTTCTTCGGAATTCAACTGACTGTAGAAATCACGGAACTACCCATCAGAACAGCCGGCCGCCATAGTTCTCCTCAAGACATGCCTGAACTCGATCAAGCTCTTTAGCTAGCTCTCAAATTTACCTTACGCTGTGACATACCTTATGAAGAAGACCAAGATATTAAGAAAAAAACGTTATATACATATCATACATACAACATTATATACATATCATACATATCAACAAATGGGTAGAACAAATAGGAGAACTCTTAAAGCAATAGGGAAAGAAACGCAGTTAAAATTTTACAAGGCCTTGGCAGCATCCACTTTGCTATGTGGAGCGTACTACTGGACGCTCAAAAATACAGATCTTAAACTGCTGGAAGTGTCGTATATGAAATTTCTTAGATCGATTAAAGGCTGTATCAGAGAAGTGAAATAACCAGAAACGAACTAGGAATGCATCAATAACCGAAATTGCGATCCATCATAAATAAAAAATGGAGAGATTATGTCTTTCGTATGCCACCAGAAATGTTTCCGAAACAAACAATGGAGTATTGTAAAAGAAATGTGGGAAGAGGACGACGACAGAGTGAGAAGAGAGACAGAAGAAGACTAAATAGTGAAATTGATTGAAGCTATGGTCTAAAAGGACTGATTGGAAGTATCTTTCATTACCATTTCCAGGTGAATGACGAAGCCGTAGGAGAATTGGATCACCCACGGTTCAACCTCATTCCACGCTTACGGTACAAACATACACAAATGTGTCAAGGACATTTAATGATTTAACCAATTTTAAATATATCACACACGAAAACTACGTAATTTTAAATATGTGTGAAATACATCTTCATTTCGAATTCTTCTTCATTAGGAATTTGTATGAGTATTTTGTTATCGGTCGGTATGTTAAATTGAGCCATTCGTATCAGCAAATGCAGCATTTTTTATTATTCTTCAATGTCTTGTACTTCAATGCCAAAGGTGATTATGACAGTCGCGTTTCATTGTACAGCAGCATCTTCGAGTGTAAGTAGGTCACATGAATAACAAAGCGCGTTGTGTGCTGTATATCACGTCACATCCGTTTTATCTCCCTGTTGTTTTTGCGTTGGGGAAGCTCGAAGACGCATCCTTTATGTTGATGGTGAAGAGTGTGAAGAGGATGGGATGCTGATAAAAGTTTATGGCTGTTTACAGGTCGTTTGTTTCACCGTGATGTTCTCCTGTCATTCTTTCTAAACATCTTGTTCTCCATGCTACTTCTTCCTTATACACCATTTTCTTGACAGTCGATGCCTCTTTTAGCAATATACTCCAGAGTGCAGTTACGCAAGGCATATGGTTTCTTTGTAAGCACGTGCTGTTCAAGTAATAAAAGTAGTACTTAATACAGCTCCATAGCATATCTACTTTATTCACACAAATTAATTGTGGTAATAATGAATTCATTTTTTCATTATTTTTAAAGGTATCTTTTATTTCACTGTTACCTCAATTTTAATTTTGATTCCTATGAATGGTGACAACAAATACAGATTTATAAAATGACTGGTGGAACCCGGCAGGCGTTCTACCCTTCGTCTCCCGACCTCTTCGTTTCCCCCTCTCTCTTCATCTCCCCCTCCTCTCTGCCTCTCGCCCCTCCCTCCCCCTCACTACCCCAACAAAAATGTAATTGAACGTTCAAAAAGCTGCAATTCTCATCCTGTAGATTACGGGGCAAATATCGTTTATTTAAGATCTTTGGCCTCAAAATCTTGGTTTTTAATGCCTTAGAACGCTTTGTTTAGAATTTATTTAACGATATAAATTCAAAAACGACTTGTAGTGTCGCATTTGACATGTATATTTAGTTTTGTTCTACGGCGCCATCTGGTGCATTTTCCCGAAATTTTAATGATTGTTCCGCTATTAGGATCGGATATGACTCCAAGAAATCAGAGGTAATTAAAATTGGTTCAGCCGTTCTTGAGTTATAAATGTTGGAACTATATATCTATATATAGTTATCTCTCTCTGGTGAGAGGGGGTGGGGTAGTATATGGTATTTGAGTATAGGGTAGGGGGGGGGTCGGGGGTAGAGGATTATAGGGGGTGATAGCAGGGTAGGGGGTATATATATATATATATATAAATGTTACCGTTTGAAAACTCGTTTTAGAAACTCATTGATTTTCTTTCCATTGTGGTGTGTAATTCAGTCCCCCACAACATAATGTGTTTTTTTAAATACAAAAAAAAATTGATATGGCTATGTGTATACTAATACCATTTTAGAATCATGCTATGCTCCCGTCATTTTCTTTGCAGTGGGAATTAACATTATGCTAATTTGGACAAATTCTTCCATGCCGTGTTATGGCAACAATTGGTTTGAGGGAAAATTTTTAATTTCATTTCACAGAAATTGCCAGTGCTAGCATAATACCCGTATTTAAAGAATTAGTAATTGAAATTATGGAATCAAAATAATTATATTAAGTTTTGTACTGGAATAGTAAGTGAAATACTTAATTTCAGGAATAATATCTTTAATGTTTTAAAAATAGAGATTTATCATTAATAGCATTATTTATAGAGTAGTGACATTAATATCATTACGAATAAACAAATATTCGTACGACGGACGTTGTTTCTGTCTATCGTCATTTCACCTGACAACAAATTAAAGAAAAAATAACAAATGGCACATCAGTGTTGCGGTCTCGTCTGTACGAAAATACTTTGCATCACTAAACTCGAACTGAATTCTGTAACACGAGTTTTAAATTCCTAGTAATATTTCTCTCCGTCACTTGATCCACAAATATTATTACTTACTTCACAATATTGAATAACACAGAATATTTTAATACTTCTAAGGTACCTTTCCTAATTATTCGAAATTTCATGTCTGAATAGCATTAGATGTTTTTCGATGCTGAATATAATTATTATTCTCTACAATAGAATCAAACGTAAGTGTAGTATCCAGATATATGTTTACCAAAAGAAGACAAACAGGCTAAAAAACATAGGCTTCAGTATTTCTTATTGATTTTCTGTTCAAGGCTATAAAAGTAATTTTAAATATGATGATAAATATAGTAATTTCCTTTTCGTTTTATCATTACTAGGGATTCAAAGGTAAGGCTATCGCACTGGATTCGAAAGAACAATTAGAAACACTCACACCGACTGTTGCTGCAGCCGTCAACCGTGAGCATCTGACACTAATGTCTTCACGTACACGTAGGCTTCCGCGCCTCCAGTTCATGACTTCTAGGCTAGAAGTCACTAATGTCTTCAGATTTTTAATCTTCAATTTGTTTTAAATCAACATTTTTGAAGTGAAAGTTAGAAATGCGCGGTAGGGCAGAAGTAGACGAAAAGTGGAAGGGTAGGTCTTGGCATGGCCGCATTTGACGACCTCTGCGCCGCTGCGTGCAGCATTACACCGGGGGAAAATTTCCGGGAATATTTTTGGAGCACATTTTGGGAGAATATTTGAGTTAACATTTTTGAAGATCATATTTTTGAGGGACATATTGAGAGAATATTCGGAGATCATTTAGGGGAACATTGTGAATTTGGGGAACACGGGGAACCTATGATCACGCGAGGAAATCTTTAGGGGAACGTAACTGGTCTTCCTGAGTAAAGGTATTGGTGACATTTATGCAGCGAAATGCCAGATGAAAAACTGGAGAATTACTCATATCAATCAATACACAATGATGTCACCGAATTCACCCATGAAGTTAAGTTTGCATACACTATTGAAGGTGCTGCATTATTGGAAAAGATTTGGACAAAATGTCAAAGATTATGAGTGGTGATTTGAATATAAATTTCAACTTGGAGCTGAATTATTAATACGAATGTTGATAAAAATTTTAATTTAAAATTGAACATTCACGAAGGACAGTCTGTAATAAGATCAGGCACTACAATCAACTAAGTATTCTAGCATCGTTTCGAAAATTTAAACTGAACACATTTGGTGTTAATCTTAAAGTTATTATAAACCAATAATTTATTTTTTGAAGTACGAATATGTGGAAATTGGTGAATAAAAATAATATATTTTATTTAATTAAAGTATTTTCTTGAATTAAATTCCATTTAATCATTTTCTTATCTTAAAAATATTAAAAATCGTAACATGATAAAAAGTATTGCATAAAATCAACTTTTCCTGCGAGCTGAGGAGTTTCACTTCCAGCACTGTTTTATTCTTCGATGAAAAATGTGTTGGAATTTTTCTTTTAAGCTTTAAAGATCTTTACATTCTGCAAAACTAAAGGAGGAAATTACATTGCTATTGTATTAAGAATGAAATAATTATTTCAAATTTACATTGGTTGCAAAATACTAAAACATCACAAAGATGGGACATTAAAAATATTGTTAAATAACCCTTCGGTTGCAAGACATGTCGGTCTGTTATAAAAATGTGTCTTTTTCAGTATTGGAACTCCAAGCTTTTATTGTTCTGTGGAAAACTCTGGCCACAGCCAGTGCAAATTCTTTGACATTTCTGAGCACGAAGACCGTCGGGTCAAGTCAGTCAGTTGTGGTTTGACTCGCGTGATAGAGGTGTCTGAGGCGTTGCTTGTTTCGGGCCGACGAATTCTGATACGGAATGGAGAATAAAGTGGTGAGAATAATTCTTTTATTTTTCATTTAAAAATAAAACACTTTTAAAATTATTACTTAATTGTGTAAAGTTAATTACATTGGATTGATATTTACTTGTACACAAGCTAAGAAACATAAAAGGAAGTATTTCTTATATTCTATAATATAACGGTCGGTGTTCAATGTGTTTTATACCGCAAAGTATTAAAAATAGCATGACTTTTCATGGCACTATAATTTGAAATTAGAAATTTGGAATGTATTTGTGGAATACACAGCAGAGTTGTGTAAATTTATATAATCGATACTTCAATATACCAGTAAATTATAGTGTGAAAGTTGTTTCGATCATTTCTTTGGAATTCATAATTTATTGAATGTGCATGATCTATTTGTACAGATAATGGGTTTATTTTTACAATACATTTTAAAGAGATTAGAGACGGTTAGAGATCGTTTCTCAATAAATATTTGTAGGTGAAGTAATAAATATCGAGTGGGTCAAATAAGTGCAATAAGGTATTAATATGTAGTAAAGCAATAGTTTCACTGTCGGTCCGCATGTGGGAAGTATTATGCATAGCTATGCAGCCAATTCACATCCATACATGTTTTGTAATGATAATTCTCCTACGAAAGAAAGTATTTTGTCCTTGGAGTTCAGTTGTAATGTGAATTAACTGCATTACTGCAATACTGGCGAGTGTATTCCCCAGATAAGTAATGTTGCACATTTGGAAACTGGCAACGAACTGAGATTTTAAAACGTTTAGTAAATGATGTAACACCATAAGAAGTCTGGAATAGAGTAGATCGTGAAGATATAAAAGTTTTCACCTCCTTATACCTCTTATACAATACCAAAATAATGTTTCATAGATTTCAAAGAGCATTGGTATTGCAAATATGTGAATGATCTGTTGACAGGAATGACTTGGAATGCCTTCAGTCAATGCAATATTCTTTGAACGGTTGCTTCGTATGTTTGATATTCTTTGTACTCTCTAAAAATTCAAAGCATGATTTGGCCAACACATGTATCCAGTCGGTGTAGCTAGTTACCGGCTATATGGTCATTATTTCCAATGGTTGGCCTTTCGGTTTTCACGCCCTCTTTAGTGGAAGTCAGTTTGTGGAACAGAAATAAACTTGTCATGTACAGAATACTCAAATGTCAATTTGTCTTCACGAAAATAATTCAAACACCGTAAATTTTAGAAATTTTGGAGTAAAGTGGTGAAATTATCTCAAAACGTTCTACCATGGATGGGCCACAAGATGTCGAGGACATTGGATTTAAGCATTTACGACCTTGAGCAGGCAACCGGCCTCTAGGAAGAAAATGTTTAGTAATTTCGCTTGTGAAACTGCGTTTAGAAACTGAGTTTCATTTGTACAAAACGGTAACATCACCTTTTAGTTGGAGGATTAGATAAGTTTATTATCGAAATATTTTGAAGAATTTATCTCGGCAGTGCGGGAATATTTGACCGATCTTCATTAATAGCATGGGTGCTGAAAAGTTGCATTAAATTACTAGGTCTATTTTCGCAGATAGGTGATTCAAACGAAGTAAAATGACATCTTTTGTAGACTACGTGAAGGCGAATATTCTTGATACTTGAAACTTCTAACGGGGAACCTATTTACAATCCCAAAAGATTTTGCAAACGCTCAAGAACACAACAGCGAAAGAACGTTCGTAGAAATTGCTGTTGCTCGAGTACTGCACGTAATTGCAGCGCAATTCAGCTCATTCTCGGACTACTATTATGTATTAGCTGAAGTCTCCTATACGGTACAACATACAGAAGTTTAAAACGAAACTTCGCTCCGGCGGTAACAGCGCAGTTTGAATCCTGGAGGCTTTCTTGGAAAGTGCTTTCTTATAAAACTGATTTGGTAATTATGCGATGGATAGACTCAAGGTTGTTTATAGTGAACGCGAGGGCCGAACCTCGCCGTGAGTTGGATCCGGGCAAGCGAAGCGAGAAAACCTGCCTTTGAAAGTAAATTGGCATTACAATGCGGCGGGGACAAAGCGTATGAAGGGCGAGCCATGAAAATCGCATATTCGTAAGTTTTATTCATTTGTCAGAGCCCGTTATTTGAGGGAGGGCTTAAGGTGACCCCCCCCCCCGCCGTCATGCTTCTGATGGTGTACCTTGTACCCCTCTGTAACATATTTTTTTCCAACCCTTTTCTTAGCGATACACGTGGACATAGTTAATGCTCTGAATGTTATGATATAAAACAATACGAATAACTTGATTTTATTTACGATCGAAGCATATTTATACACTATATTTCCTTGAAGAAACGACTGAAAAATATATACTGATCATTGAAGAAAAGACTTTACGGTTTTTGTTCCTTTAAACTATGGAGTACATAAATGCCACCTGTCAAGATCAGACGTACAACCTTACGGGTGTCGCGCGTACAAACGCCCTTGGAAATTCTGACCACCTACCAGCAGTTACCAATTCCGTTGGTTATGCTGTTAAAAGTTCATAACTGAGGAGTCAATGAAATATCATCTTTATCCTGTTATGAGATTGAAATTAACTTATTACCTGATTTTTTAAAATTCCGAATACATTATTTGTTTAACTGTTATACTTGGTATCTTCCACGTTTTCACTTAGAAACTTTTACCTTTTCCTTGACAACCAAATTTTTGTGTACTTTAACACAAATTTAGGTACAACTCAATTTTATGACAGTGCACTTATTAAAGTGGCCTACTTATCCTCTCAATGTCTATTGGATTCTAGTTTTCCAACTATCCGAGAAACCAAACCTTTAAGGTTCTTTTTAATATGTTTATTTGGTTTCAGGATAAGAAATGTGTAGTTCATATTATTTTAATGTGCTATTAACAAATTAACATCTATTCTCATCTGCCTAACTGAAAAATGGTATGCTCACCAATAAGAAAAAGAGAAAAGAAGCTGACATGATGAGCATTTACATTTTTCCCTTCAAATACATTTTTTCCCGAAATAGAAAAACAATTTTTTCTTTAATTTCGCTCCTAATTTGAATTGGTAGGAAAATTATTGCACTCAGAGCATTTAAATACTGTTTTAAATTTATTTTGTGATATGAAAGCTCTTTTTAATTTGTCTACAATTTGTTTAAAAAAACAGCGACACTTCCCGCCGTACGGCACTTTCTGTATTGTGAGAAAGAGTGCAATGTACTGTACGATAGTGTAGTAAGGTCTTTAGGCTTCATACTTTCAATAAAATTGTTTCGATATAATTACTGCGCGCCGGAAGATGGGCGGGAAAACTCATTGTGAGCGGAGTGCAAATAATAATAAATATCGATTAGCTTAGTTTCATTATCAAGATACTGCGATATTTATCTACAGCTGTCGATAGGGTCTTCTGTCAAAATGTCAAAAGATTATGCCTTTTCGGAACTTCGCACTTTACAGATTTGTGTGAAGAATTAGTCAATCCTTGACGGAATATCAAGGAATTGAATCGATGGAAATTCGGGAGGTCGAAACACTATTTTCATTAAGTTAGAAATTAAATGATGGGATGAAGAAGAAATAAATCAGAATGAAAAGGGATTAAAAATAAGGGAATGCGAGGTTAATTAACAAGCGGTGAGGGGGAAAAGCTTTTTAAGTCTCAGGTGATAGATTCTGAAAATTACCTAGGGCAGTGGCATAGTTTCAATAGATGCGAATGGTGAGTTACACCCAAAGTTCAATTTTTTAAAACTTTTCTGTTAAGAATATTTTCCTCTTTCCTATTTGTGTATCTCTCGGTTCTGTTAGTACTTTTCGTTCTTTACATACGATTTTCAATAGGGTTCCGTTACTCGCTAGATGCGACAGGTCGAGAAAAAATCTTTAAACGGCTTCTCTTTGTTGGCGAGGTCATTGAACATAACGCTGGTGAGAACTATGAGCTGCGCGAAATTTAACGTCGTCATGGAAGCTATTCGTTAACTAGCTTGAACACAGTGGAAACTGTTAAAATTTTGGAAAATAAGTGAATCATTATTTGATATTCCATTCCAAATATAACCGATCTAGAACCTATCTAAACAGCTGACATTGATCTATCTTGAAACATTTCCTTCTTTTCTTGAAATCGTTGCAGATTTCCCGAATAATGATTCTTTAGAAAAGCTTTGCGCCAGTATTTAAAATAAGAATTTTAGAAAGGCCATGTTTATTGCGCTGGCTTTCTGCGAATTACGTCAAAATTTGCTCATAGGAATAGAGACCTATCTCTAGTTATTAAAAAAATTATAGTTCCAGTTTGTATTTCTTAACTGAAATAATGGGAAAGAAATTTGTTAGAAATGTTTTCAAGTATGTCGCCGCTATTGATACTGGTTTTTACCACTATCATATTCAGAGGATACCTAATTTTTCTTGCAAATTTCTCTTAGATGAAATATAATATCGGGAAATAAATGTAGGAACATGTTCAAAAAACTATTGTAATTCATACTCGATTCATCATTTGAATGATAAAATGCATTGGTTTTCATTACGTTCTTACCACGTTACTTTCACTACATTACGAGTTCTATGAGAGCGTACCTTGGGTAACAAAAAACCGAAAATTCAGAAATAGTTATTTATTAAGTAGGCTAAAAATTTTCAGTAAGTCGTAATATCGTCAAAAGATAAAACAGTTAAAAATACATTCATTGACATGGATGGAAAAATGAAGAAAATTAGAGCCAAAAATTCAAAGTGAAATCATATAAATAGGACATAAAAAATGTGGACGTGTAGTACACGGCAGACAATATTTCGTCAATTCTTGATAGTTGTACCTTAGACTTAATAACTTTCGCTTTATATATTTGGAGTACAAAATACATGAGTATAGTGTTGAGGTATGAAAAAGTAAATGGATATTGGAAAAACAATTAAGAACATTTTTGATAAGTCTTGTTTCG